TCTCCTCTGAAACCTGCGGTAAGCCCTCATAAAAGGACTGTGCTACCTCTGGTATCTCTTGAGACTCTTTCTTGAACAATTTTTCATAGAAGTCAATGGCACATTTCCGTATCTCTGCAGATTCGTGCAGTAGTTGTCCAGTGTTGTTTCGCAAAGAATGCATGAGTCTCTTTTGCCCATTTTTTCGTTCTAGGGCAAAGAAAAAATTAGAAGGCGCATCCATTTTAACCACATTTTGAAAACGTGAATGGACCAGAGCACCTTGAGCAGAAAAACCTAACAGGTTGGACAGAGCTGTTTTTTTTCCCTTTTGAGAACTTTAATGTGTTCTCCTTCTCCTGTGGAGTCTGCTAACTCTTGCAGCTCCACTATTTCACTCTCTAAAGCTTTCATAGATCTGGTCATATCTTTTGTAACATTTAAAGTATATTGTAAACACAGCTGTTTGATTTTACTCTTTCCTATGTCCCACCACTGCTGCAAAGAAACATATTCAGATTTTGTATTTTTAAAGCCATTCCAAAAAAACTTAAAAGTATCTCTAAAAACATTATCCTCAAGCAAAGTTACATTAAAATGCCAAAAAGCACTATTACATTTCACATCTTTGATAAAAATAGAACACTGAACAAAGGAATGATCAGAAATACCAACAGGATGTATTGAACAATTTCTCAGAACATTGGTTTGATGTTTGAAACAATAAAATCTATCCAGTCTAGCTAGAGAAAGAGAATTATCCTTAACATGAGCCCAGGTATATTGACGCTGGGAAGGATAAAAAAACCTCCAAACATCACACAAACTATTGGATTCAATTAGATTGATTAAACACGTTTTGCTGGGACCATGAGGTTCTATGTGATTCCTATCAACCCATGCGGCAGTACAGTTGAAATCACCCCCCAGGATCAAATAACAATCATCGGAGCAATTTCTTATAACATTGTTTAAAGTGTTTAAAAACATCACCCTTTCAGTTCCCACAGTTGGAGCATACACATTAATAAAAATCAATTTTACCTTTTCAAAGACAGTGTGTATCTTTAATAAGCGACCCTTAATAATTTCCTCAGTAACAAAAGATATTGGTAAAAAATCTTTAGAAAACAAGATCCCAACTCCACCACTGTTACTGCTCTTATGACTAAGACACACTTCCCCATCCCATTCCTTCTGCCAGTCGGCTTCATTCTCTACTGTACTATGCGTTTCTTGCAGGAATACAACATTAAGGTTTCTCAATTTAAGTAGATTAAAAAGAGCTGCTCTCTTCACATCCTCCCTGGCACCATTGATGTTTAAAGATCCTAGCTTTACTTCACACATATTAGATGAAGAAATGCATTGGGGTTGCCATTTAAACAAGCCTGAGAAATGAACACAGAAGAGAGAGAAGAACACAAGAAAATTAACCATCATTGGCTATTTGCGATCTAACTTTGAGCATCAATTTCTTAAGACGATACGTTTCTTGATCACTGAAAGTAAACTGATCAGACCGATCAGTATTTTTCATAAACAGCTTGACTGAATCGAGAAACATCTTTAAATCAGGGAAAAAGTCATCAACTCTAACTGACCTTATGCCTTTAGTGTCCTGTAAGAATGAAGGGAGTCTAGTGAAAGCTTCCAGCTGTGTGTCAGCACTAGACTCACCTACACTCTCCTGCGTGTCCATCCAGCTCTCCTCAGACTGCGAGCCGTTCACTGAAGCCAACTTTGATACTTTACTAGCCTGCTCTGCGTTCAGCGTGTTATCTAGCTCTTTTCTTTTGATAGACTGTTTAACCAGATCGCTCTCACACACAGCACTCTCCTCATCAAGCAGCGCTGATTCAGCTATTCTAGTAACGATACCAACAGTCTCCGTGCCTACCTTTGGGTCTCTTTGAACTTCCAGCTCTCTTTGCTTGCTCGTTACTTCCTTCTCGGGATTACTATCGTCGCTTTCCTCTCGTGCAGCTCGTGTATTTCTCTTTGTTGTGACTGAAGCGGCCGCTCCGCTTGTACTCGGCTGTTCCTCCACCTGAGCGGCTGCTTCACCTGACGTTAACCTCTCCGGGCACGACCGGATCAGATGGCCTACAGTTCCGCACCCGAAGCACTTCATCATCTCTGATGTTGCATGTACTGTATAATCATAATCATCAATCTTAAACTTAAACACCAAGTTCAGTTCCTCATCATTGTTTTTAAGCACCATGAGTACCCGCCTCCTAAAAGACATAACATGTTTTAAATGAGGGGATTTACAACTCATGGGGATCAATTTAATCGGAGATACTAGCTGACCATATCTCTGTAACTCTTTTGCCAAAACTTCATTTTTGAGAAAAGGAGGAACATTAGAGATGATGATTTTTTTAGCAGGATTCACTAAAGACAGAACAGGTATGAAAGTACCTTGAATTACAACTCCATTCTCAATTAACTGATTCGCTTTGTCTGTGCTATCCAAAAATATCACAACAGCGCTGTTCATCCGCGAGGCGGATTTGATACTTCCAAAACCGACCTCTTCTCCGACCGCTAAACTGCAGTCCTCTACCGAACAACCGGCCGGCGGAGACAGCTTAACGGCGTGCCGGCGCGTGAGCTTAAACAAACCGAGCTGATCGCCCGCAGCCATGCTGCAGCCGCCGCTCTACCAACAACTCACAATAGCCTACAGTAAAGATCAAACAAACAAACAACAACAAAAAAACAATAAAAGAAAAAAGAGAAAAATTTTGAAAAACCACTCACACTACCACGCGCTCTCCAACGCACTCACCACGCTCAGTCTCACCATTCACTCAGAGAGAGAGAGAGTGGTTATACATCTAAATTGTAAGAATTTAAATTTTAAGTAAAAGTGAAGTTAACATGCAAACCATTTTCCATGTATCCTTCTTCTTTCCGTTTATTGACCAATTTTCACACATTACTCCACGTGTCTTTGAGAAATGGGTTTCTTTTTTTAAATGAAACAGGTTTACAGTGAGAGGGTAGCTAAATTTTGGTTGCTACAGATACATTTAGACAACGTGCCACAGACCTCGTTCTGATTTTGGAGACGATTTAAAAATCAAAAGTACAAAATATTTCCCGGTAATTGCATACCTCTACATGTTCTGGATTGCTGTTGTCCTTTCTTTGATGTAAATGAAGGCCACCGCCATCTTTGATTTGAACATTGCGATAAGAAAAACGCATCACGAATCAAGGCTTGTGTTTATAACAAAAGTTTATCATTAATAAGTTAATCAAGATATTACCTGCCAGTGGAGACGAAAACGCAGAACTTAATCCCACGCTGGCACAAAAATTAAGGTAGTTGCTCCTATGGGAAAGCGTGACTGGATCTAAACAGAGTTATTGCCACCACAAATTGGCTAAAACAAGCAACGTACACAAGGTCTCCGTAGGACCTGATTTGCTCACATCACAGTAAGATTAGGGTTTTTAAAGAGGGGATTTTGGATTTCTCTTTTTATCACTGCATGGAAAAAAAAACATTCACCATGTTTTTAGGGTTAAAATGTTATATGCAACTGTATATATATATATATATGAATAAAACTGTTAAGTTTGGTGTGTGTAAGAGCTGCTGAAGTGGAGAAAGAAACTCATTTTGAGAAAAAGGCCATTACGGCTGCGTATTGTGACTGAAATCTATAGACACATATAAAGTGCAATAAAATAAACACTACGCATGAACAAATATGGATTTTGCATGTTTTATTTCCAATGGGTTGAAATAAGACATTTATGTTATGGAAGCAAAATAGACCGAAATCTGAAAATTGAGCAGCGCATAAAAATAAAAAAGCAATGGTTTTGTCTGTAGTGTCTTAGGACTTAAGATTCAACGTTTGCTAATTATCCAAACATACTTCAAATATATAATATTAACATAGCAACATCTATGTGTCATGTGTCTCCACTATATGAGATCGAAACCTGCTAGAAAACCCAAACCGAGAGCAAATGTCCAGATGGTGGAGGAGAGTCACGGCTCAGATGTTCAGCACCACGGACAGCAGCTGAGATTCATCACACACACACTCCTGTTCTCATCGACACCACATTACACTTCAGAAACATCTTATAATGCTGGATAACTGACCTTCAACATGCTTCGAA